CTGTGGAGATCTCTTCTGACTCCTCTGACCCAGCTGAGGGGGGTGACACAGCCGCCGACGACACGGCGACCACTCGCCGCACTCCTCGCTTGGAGACCCCCTCAGGGTTCCAGCCTCGGGCGTCTTCGCTACCTCCGCAGCCTGGTGCTGTGGACTCTGGAGCTGAGGCTGTTGGAGCTGGGCCTGGGGGTGGTACGTCTGGGGGTGTCCGCTCTCCTCGTTTGGCTACCCCCCCCCCCCGGTTTCCCGCCTCTGCAGCCTTCTGCAGTGGACACTAGAGCTGAGACTGAGGGTGCAGGGACTGAGGGTACTAAGCCTTCGGGTGCTGGGACTGAGGGTACTGAGCCTGCGGGTGCTGGGACTGAGGGTACTAAGCCTGAGGGTATTGAGCCTGGGGGTACTGAGCCTTTGGGTGCGGACTCTGGGGGTGATGAGACTTCGAGTGCTGACTCTAGGGGTGCTGCGAGTCCTTCTGGAGGTCCTGGAGCTGGAGGTGCTGGAGCTGGAGGTACTAGAGGTGCTTCTGGTGCTGGAGGTGCTAGAGCTACCACTACTGGAGGTACTGGAGATGGACAGCCACCGCAGCCTGCTCTACTTGAGACGCTCTCGCCGCAGGCGATTCGTGCATGGGTCGGTCGGCGAGGCAGTCCTGGTGGTGGAGGGTACGGTCCTGCTGGTGCTGGAGCTACTAGTCCAGGAGGTGCTACTGGTGCTGGAGGTACTACTGGAGGTACTAGAGGTGCTGCTGGTGCTGGAGGTACTGGAGCTGCTAGGCCTGGAGGTGGTGGAGGTGCTGCTGGTGCTGGAGGTACTGGAGCTGCTAGTACTGGAGGTACTGCCGGTGCTGGAGGTACTAGAGCTGGAGGTACTGGAGCTGGTGGTGGTGTAGGTACTACTGTTACTGGAGGTGCTGGAGCTGCTGGCACTGGAGGTGCTGGTGCTACTAGTGCTGGAGTTGCGGGAGCTGCTGACCCTGGAGGTGCTGGTGCTGCTGGTGCTAGAGGCGTTGGAGCTGGAGGTACTGGAGGTGCTGGAGCTATTGGTCCCGATGGTGCTCGTACTGGAGGTGCTGGAGCTGCCGGAGCAGGTGGTGCTGCCGGTGCTGGAGGTGCTACTGGAGCTGCTGGCACGGGAGGTATTAGAGAGACTACTGGTGCTAAAGGCGCTGGAGCTGGAGCTGGAGGCACTGGAGGTGCTGGAGGTAATACTGGTGCTCGAGGTGCTGGCGCTGTCGGAGCTCGTGGTGCTGGAGGTGCTGGTGCTACTGGTGCTGGAGGTGTTGCTGGGGGTACTGGAGGAGCTGCTCGTGCTGGAGGTACGGGAGCTGTTGGTGCTCTTCGCCACCTTCTCAGTCTTCCGCCAAGTGCTACTGACTTCCCAGTGGCAGGTACTACTCCTCCGTTACTGTTTCCACCGGTAGACCAGACTCAGCCGCCGCTGCTACCGCACTCCCCACTGCCTGCTCCTGCTCCTTACACTGCGGTGACACAGTCCCTGTCTGAGCGTCAAGAGCCTGAGACTCGTGCTTCTACCCTTGAGCGTCGAGAGTCTGAGTCTAGCTTTGACCTTGAGCCCGAGCCTAGTGCCGCTGTCCGTACTTGTGTGCATTGTGTGCGTCGTCCTCGTGCTCCGGCTGTCCCAGGCACTTACGATATGACACTCCGTCCTTCCTCTGTTCCACATCGTGTTGTCCTGCCGTTACCTCCTGCGTCCTCTCTTCCTGCCGTTGCTGACCCTCCGTCTGACCTTGCTCGTGCGTCCAGTCCGACTGTTACTCGCTTCCTTGCTACGATTGTGACAGACCCTACGTTCTCGTCTCCTTCTGCAACTGCCTTAGTCGCTAAGCTCGTTGACTTTGCTGCTGTGTACCGCCTAGACTACCTTGCGAGACTTGTCTCTGACCCTGTCCCTACCTGTCCTCCGTCCGTTGGGGGTGAGACTGCCCTTGGCTGTACTGCCCTTGGCTGTGACGTTCTTGAGGACAGGTTGGAGGAGCTGGAGTGCCTTGCGGCCGCTTCACCCCATCACGCGACCATGCTGCTTGCCCCTGAGGGAGACCCGGATGCACTTGACATCCCCACCCCGCGCTCCTACAGGGAGGCGATATCGGGTGAGTACTCCTCTCAGTGGCAGACAGCCATGGACGCAGAGATGGCTTCCTGGAAGTCCACAGGCACCTACGTCGACGAGGTTCCCCCACCTGGGGTGAACATCGTCAGTGGCATGTGGATTTTCAGGGTGAAGCGGCCGTCGGATTCTCCGCCTGCCTTCAAGACACGTTACGTTGCTCGAGGCTTCAGTCAGCGTGAGGGGGTCGACTTCTTTCAGACCTTCTCCCCCACCCCAAAGATGACCACTCTTCGGGTGTTGCTACACGTTGCAGCTCAGCGTGACTACGAGCTACACTCCCTCGACTTCTCGACAGCTTTCTTGCAGGGTAGCCTTCACGAGGCCATCTGGTTGCGCCGTCCACAGGGTTTGATTGGGTCGTTTCCTGAGGGTACCCAGTGGAGCCTACGGCGACCAGTGTACGACCTGCGTCAGGCGCCCCGCGAGTGGCACGACACACTGAGGACGACACTTGCGGCTCTTGGGTTTGCTCCTTCGACTGCTGATCCGTCGCTGTTTCTACGCACCGACACTACTCTGCCGCCATTCTACATCCTTGTGTATGTCGACGACTTGGTTTTTGCTACTGCTGACATTGAGGCACTGGCCCTAGTGAAGGCGGAGCTGCAGGAGAGACACACCTGCACTGACCTGGGTGAGCTGCAGAGCTATCTTGGCTTGCAGATCACCCGAGACAGAGCACGGCGCACCATCACCCTGACTCAGTCACACATGGTGCAGCAGGTCCTTCAGCGCTTCCACTTCACGTGGTCCTCACCACAGCCCACTCCTCTGTCTACCGGCCACTCGCTCTCAGCTCCACCTTCGGACGAGTTCGTAGAGCCGAGTGGTCTGTACCCAGAGCTTGTGGGTTGCCTCATGTACCTGATGACGTGCACACGACCTGACCTCGCGTACCCTCTCAGCCTCCTGGCTCGCTACGTGGCACCCGGTAGACACCAAAAGGTGCACTTTGATGTTATGAAGAGGGTACTGCGTTACTTGTGCAACACATTGGGCATGGGGCTCGTGCTTGGCGGACGGGGTTCGGTGGTCCTCATAGGACACTCTGACGCTTCTTGGGCCGACGACTAGACGACTCAGCGTTCGTCACAGGGTTACACCTTCAGTTTTGGCTCTAGTTCTGTCTTGTGGAGGTCCACTCGTTCTTCTTCTGTGCTTGGCTCCAGCTGTGAGGCCGAGATCTACGCTAGGGCCATGGCTGCACAGGAGCTACGCTGGCTGACCTACCTGCTGGGGCCATGGCTGCACAGGAGCTACGCTGGCTGACCTACCTACTTGGCGGAGCGGCCTCGTTCTCCTCCAGTTCTGTACGTCGGCAACAAGGCAATGCTTGCATTGTGTCGCGAGCAGAGACTAGAGCACCGAACGAAGCACATTGCTCTTCGCTACTTCTTTGCACGTGAGCTGCAGCAGCGTGGTCAGCTGCGCCTTGCTTTCGTGGCCTCTCGGGCCAACACTTCTGATGTCTTCACCAAGGCCCTCGAGTCTGGTGATCATCAGCGTTTTTGCACTGCTCTTGGGCTTGTGCCCACTCTGCCTCACCTGCTGGTTGCTTGACTTGCTCTTGTTGTACACTGATATATATCTTTATACCTGCTTGTTTACTCTTGCTAGGTTGTGATCAGTGTACTGCCTTGCTATTATAACTCTGCATGTGAACTGGCCTTGTGGCCGCTTGCTTGTGCTCAGATTGTGTGGTGTCCTTGAGATCCACCCTGAGCTTTGTGTTGCTTTGCTTGTTCTCTTGCTTGACTGGTCTTGTGACCGTCTGTTGTGTTTGCATGTTTGTGTTCTCTCTAGGCTATAGTGAGTTAGCCTACAAGGGGTACAACACTTTAGGGTTAGGTACTTGTACTCATGCATGCTACCTAGTCTACCATTCCTACCTGGAGATTCTAACATAAGGCACATAGTGGGGATGGGAGTGACATCACGAGCTGTTTCATGCATTTTGACGATTTCTTGGGCACAAGCCCGCGTAGAAATGCCTATGTGGCAGACAGGAGCATGAAGGCAAAGAGAGGCTTCTGAGTGCTCATTGGTGGGATGACTTCTATCCTGAGCTGCTGTAGGTCATTCTTGAGGCTCATAATGATAGTAATTTTAAAGCCGTTGGCCCAAATTGCACAAGTTTTTAGAAGATGACGAGAGGGAGTTTTACTGGTTTGGGTTTTGGCAAGTGTTTCCGATTTCATGAAATTCGTTTTTTTCGCCCAACCTAGACAGCCCCGCATTTTTACCCTCGAGGGTGTGTCAGCCTTAGAAAGTTTCAAATTGCAGCTGCGCTTCTTTTCAAAGCTTGCACAGCCCACTTCGTCAACTTTAAAAAACTTGACCCGCGCGGTGGGTTTTAAGCCGTAAAGCTTCAGACATCACCATATTCTCCTTTCTATTGGTATTTGGGAGATGCTTATAGCGGAACGCTATTTGTGGTTTTCTGGGAGAAGTGTATAATTGGTGAGTATACTATTCCATATATTTCCAAATAGAAGCATATGTATAGCACCAGCATTCTGCAGCAAGATTGACCAAGCAAAAAACTTACAGTTTCGATTCTTCATGCAGGGAATCACTCAAATAGGAACATTCATGCTTAGGAACATCCAGATGTATCACTTCAATCTGTGGTGCGCTCCCGGTGAAAGCCACCGTGTGGCTCAGTAGCCCATCCCCAGCTTCACTTGACTTTCCCCCATGCTGTCCCCCCTTCCCCCGCCCCCTCCCCTGTTCATCTCGTAACCACCTCAATCTGCGGGGCACTTCCGGTGAAAGCCATCGCATGGTTCAGCAGCACATCTCCATTGCTGCTTAACGTCCCTCCACTCCATCCCTCCTCTTTCCATCAAGGAACCACCTCGATGTGCGGCTCACTGCCAGTGAAAGTCACCATGTGGTTTAGCCCATCCCCTTCGTTGCTCGACATTCCCCCATGCTGCCCCCCCCACCACTCCCTCCACTCCCTGTTCACCTGGGAACCACCTTGAAGTGCGGTTCACTCCCGGTGAAAGTCACCATGTGGTTCAGCAAACCATCCCCATTGCTGCTTGACATCTCTCCCTCTCCTTTCCTCTGTCCCTTCCCTCTCTCCCTTTCCTCTTCATCGAGGCACCACCTTGATCTGCGGCTCACTCCCTGTGAAAGTCAACGTGTGGTTCAGCAGTCCATCCGCATCGCTACCCGATGTCTCTCCCTTCATCCCCTTCCTCATCCTCTCCGCAAACCACGACTCCTCTTCCTCCTCATCAATCTCCTCCGCAATCTCCTCCTTGAATCTGCTCGGCCCTTTTGACGCTGACGCAACAATCTCAGCCCAGAAGGATCGACCAGCTTGGGAATTCACTGCACCCAAGGAACCCCCACTCTCCCCATTGGACCGCTCGCTATAGTCACACCTGCTGCTGCCGTCACCACCAGCACCTGCACCAGCAGCAGCACCATCACCACCACCAGCACCAGCAGCAGCAGCACCACCACCAGCAGCAGCACTATGGGAGCCAGAAACACAGTTGAGCATCCGCCTGATCCCCTCCAGCTCTTTCAACACTTGCTGCATGTCTGGTCGGCTCTGTGCCTGCTTGAGGCTGCACCGCATCCCCAGCCGCAAGAACCACTCAAACGTCTCCTGCAGAGCCTCGCTCCCACACGTCTCCTCCAGATGCTCGTTCTCAGCCATCTCTCTTTCCCCATTTCCACTGTTACCTCCCCCCCCTCCTCCTCTTGCTCCCCCTCCCGCTACCGCTCCCCCCCGCTCCCCGCTCTCCCCATCCCCCTTCTGCTGTCTCTCCCACAAGGCTTTCAATACAGGGTCCATGACACTGTACACGCCGCCGTGGTTGGTAACCCTATCGATCACGATAGATCGGATATGCTCCCCGTTGGTCACGGGGCGGAGACCTGTGGCTAGCTCTAGAAGCACGATGCCGAAACTGTACACGTCACTCTTTTCCGTGAGTAAATCGCATTGAAAATACTGTGGGTCCAAATAGCCCTGGGCACGGCAAGTGGGGAGAGAAAAGGAGGAAAACAACAAACCGTTCATTGATGTGTAGATTGATGGCCCAAAAAAAGAAGAAAAGAAAAAAAGGGAAAAACGATCGAGTGGGTATGCTTCCCATTTGATAAGCACCACTCTCCCAATTCCACTCACCACAGTCCCCTTCACTAGCGTGTTCAGCCTCCCCCCCTCCTCCCCACCTCCTCTGGCAAAGCCCTAAACATTCCACTCACGATTTCGTCCTGCGCCCACACCGCTCCCACCCCCTGAAATCGCCTTCCTCATCTCTGCACTCACCACAGTCCCCTTCACTTGCGTGTCCAGCCTCCCCCCCTTCACCTCCTCAGGGACCGCCTTGGAAATGCCAAAGTCGGCCACCTTCGCCTCGAGGCCTGCTGTGATCAGGATGTTGGCCGTCTGGTGGGGGAAGGAAGGGGGGGAAGGGAATGAGGAATGGAGAGACGAAATAATGGTGGCAAGGGGGGCATACACATGCTGACAGCCTTGGAGATACCAAACTCAGCCACCTTCGCCTCGAGGCCTGCTGCGATAAGGATGTTGGCCGTCTGGTGGTGGGAGGGGGGGGGGGGGGCATGATTTAGAGGCCGGGGAGGGGGCAAAGGGGAAGGGGGAGAGGTACAGGAGATATTTTCGCTCAGCCATGGAGATGCAAAGGTCAGCCATGGAGATGCAAAGGTCAGCAGCCATGGAGATGCAAAGGTCAGGCATGGAGATGCAAAGGTCAGGCATGGAGATGCAAAGGTCAGCCATGGAGATGCAAAGGTCAGCCATGGAGATGCAAAGGTCAGCCATGGAGATGCAAAGGTCAGCCATGGAGATGCAAAGGTCAGCAGCCATGGAGATGCAAAGGTCAGCCATGGAGATGCAAAGGTCAGCCATGGAGATGCAAAGGTCAGCAGCCATGGAGATGCAAAGGTCAGCCATGGAGATGCAAAGGTCAGCCATGGAGATGCAAAGGTCAGCAGCCATGGAGATGCAAAGGTCAGCCATGGAGATGCAAAGGTCAGCCATGGAGATGCAAAGGTCAGCCATGGTGATGCAAAGGTCAGCCATGGAGATGCCAAGGTCAGCCATGGAGATGCAAAGGTCAGCCATGGAGATGCAAAGGTCAGCCATGGAGATGCAAAGGTCAGCCATGGAGATGCAAAGGTCAGCCATGGAGATGCAAAGGTCAGCCATGGAGATGCAAAGGTCAGCCATGGAGATGCAAAGGTCAGCCATGGAGATGCAAAGGTCAGCCATGGAGATGCAAAGGTCAGCAGCCATGGAGATGCAAAGGTCAGCCATGGAGATGCAAAGGTCAGCCATGGAGATGCAAAGGTCAGCAGCCATGGAGATGCAAAGGTCAGCCATGGAGATGCAAAGGTCAGCCATGGAGATGCAAAGGTCAGCAGCCATGGAGATGCTAAGGTCAGCCATGGAGATGCAAAGGTCAGCCATGGAGATGCAAAGGTCAGCCATGGAGATGCAAAGGTCAGCCATGGAGATGCAAAGGTCAGCCATGGAGATGCAAAGGTCAGCAGCCATGGAGATGCAAAGGTCAGCCATGGAGATGCAAAGGTCAGCAGCCATGGAGATGCAAAGGTCAGCCATGGAGATGCAAAGGTCAGCCATGGAGATGCAAAGGTCAGCAGCCATGGAGATGCAAAGGTCAGCCATGGAGATGCAAAGGTCAGCCATGGAGATGCAAAGGTCAGCCATGGAGATGCAAAGGTCAGCCATGGAGATGCAAAGGTCAGCCATGGAGATGCAAAGGTCAGCCATGGAGATGCAAAGGTCAGCCATGGAGATGCAAAGGTCAGCAGCCATGAAGATGCAAAGGTCAGCCATGGAGATGCAAAGGTCAGCCATGGAGATGCAAAGGTCAGCCATGGAGATGCAAAGTTCAGCCATGGAGATGCAAAGGTCAGCCATGGAGGTGCAAAGGTCAGCAGCCATGGAGATGCAAAGGTCAGCCATGGGGATGCAAAGGTCAGCCATGGAGATGCAAAGGTCAGCCATGGAGATGCAAAGGTCAGCCATGGAGATGCAAAGGTCAGCCATGGAGATGCAAAGGTCAGCCATGGAGATGCAAAGTTCAGCCATGGAGATGCAAAGGTCAGCCATGGAGGTGCAAAGGTCAGCAGCCATGGAGATGCAAAGGTCAGCCATGGAGATGCAAAGGTCAGCCATGGAGATGCAAAGGTCAGCCATGGAGATGCAAAGGTCAGCCATGGAGATGCAAAGGTCAGCCATGGAGATGCAAAGGTCAGCCATGGAGATGCAAAGGTCAGCCATGGAGATGCAAAGGTCAGCAGCCATGGAGATGCAAAGGTCAGCCATGGAGATGCAAAGGTCAGCCATGGAGATGCAAAGTTCAGTTATGGAGATGCAAAGGTCAGCCATGGAGATGCAAAGTTCAGCCATCTTCGCTTTGAGGCCTGCTGTGATGAGGAAGTTGTCCGTCTAGTGTGGGTGGGGAAGAAGGGGGGGGTTTGTATGGTGGGCCACCCAAGTGGTTGTCGGCCATGCCAACTTGGAAACAAGCTCATGTGCGTGGGACATTGCGTTGTGGGCATGTGTGCACCGCACACATGCACACGCCCCACGCACACAAGCATTAGCACGCATGTATGCCCGCCCGCACACGTTCGTGTGCAAGTATATGCACACACACGCACGCTCACACAGAGACTCCCCCCCTACCTTCACATCGCGATCATTGATGCTCCTATGTAATCCCACTGGCTGCCACGACCACACATATGAGCACGCATGCATGTTCCAACACACACCATCACTCTCTCCCTATGTAATGAGTCGTGTTTTGAGTCGACTCAAGGCACGCATGCATGTTCCAACACACGCCATCACTCTCTCCCTTCCTTCACGCGGCGATAATGGGGGTGGCTTGATCTGATGGTGCAGGTACGCAAGCCTACTTGTTGTGCCACAGACGATTTACTCTTGCTCACTTGCACACATGAGCATAGCATGCATGCATGTTCCAACACTAGTTGACCCTCCCTCTCCCTACTTCACATCACGGTGGATGATGGGCAGCTTGATCTGATGCTGCAGGTGATGCAAACCGGCTTGCATGAACAGGTCAAGCACAAATGAGCATGCAAGTATGCATGTTGACACAGGAGAGCAAGTATGCATGTTGACACAGGAGAGCAAGTATGCATGTTGACACAGGAGAGCAAGTATGCATGTTGACACAGGAGAGCAAGTATGCATGTTGACACAGGAGAGCAAGTATGCATGTTGACACAGGAGAGCAAGTATGCATGTTGACACAGGAGAGCAAGTATGCATGTTGACACAGGAGAGCAAGTATGCATGTTGACACAGGAGAGCAAGTATGCATGTTGACACAGGAGAGCAAGTATGCATGTTGACACAGGAGAGCAAGTATGCATGTTGACACAGGAGAGCAAGTATGCATGTTGACACAGGAGAACAAGTATGCATGTTGACACAGGAGAGCAAGTATGCATGTTGACACAGGAGAGCAAGTATGCATGTTGACACAGGAGAGCAAGTATGCATGTTGACACAGGAGAGCAAGTATGCATGTTGACACAGGAGAGCAAGTATGCATGTTGACACAGGAGAGCAAGTATGCATGTTGACACAGGAGAACAAGTATGCATGTTGACACAGGAGAGCAAGTATGCATGTTGGCACAGCACAGCACACACACATACCTTCACATCGCGGTGGATGATGGGCGGTTTGATCTGATGGTGCAGGTACGCGAACCCACTGGCTGCGCCACACGCGATGTCAACCCGCTGCCGCCACGTCAGCGGGTGTTTTGAGTCCGCTGGTAGTCGGCACACACAAAGGGGAGAGAAAGGGTATGGGGTGTTGGTATCCTTCACAACTCTTGAATCGCATGAAAATTTGTCTCTCTACCCGCAAGCCTCGTTCAGCGCCCTATGGTGCAGAGGAGATGGCCTCCCCTCACATCACCTCTTCACCAAAAGGCACTAATGCTGCATCATTGCTGGCTTCACGGATGCTCACTTCTCAGCATGTCCTTGAGTGTCTCTCATACACCAGCAGCTGCTCGCCCGCCTCCACACACAAGCCAGTCAGTGCACTCACCATAAGGTGGCATCATTCCCCTCCCCCATCCTCCTCAACCCCGACTCCTCCACTCCCTCTTCTCACCCAATACTTACATCTCTCAACAGTTCTTCAAGTGTCCCTCTCTCTATGAACTCATACCTCAGCCGCATCGTCCGCCTCCACGGGGAAGACACTGAGGGCCATGAGGTTGCATTGCATCAACTCACCGGGACTTGATACCCTCACCACGCCGCCTTTTGAGACGTCTCAAAAGTCACACCGGGACTTGATACACTCACCACGCCGCCTTTTGAGACGTCTCAAAAGTCACACCGGGACTTGATACACTCACCACGCCGCCTTTTGAGACGTCTCAAAAGTCACACCGGGACTTGATACACTCACCACGCCGCCTTTTGAGACGTCTCAAAAGTCACACCGGGACTTGATACACTCACCACGCCGCCTTTTGAGACGTCTCAAAAGTCACACCGGGACTTGATACACTCACCACGCCGCCTTTTGAGACGTCTCAAAAGTCACACCGGGACTTGATACACTCACCACGCCGCCTTTTGAGACGTCTCAAAAGTCACACCGGGACTTGATACACTCACCACGCCGCCTTTTGAGACGTCTCAAAAGTCACACCGGGACTTGATACACTCACCACGCCGCCTTTTGAGACGTCTCAAAAGTCACACCGGGACTTGATACACTCACCACGCCGCCTTTTGAGACGTCTCAAAGTCACACCGGGACTTGATACACTCACCACGCCGCCTTTTGAGACGTCTCAAAAGTCACACCGGGACTTGATACACTCACCACGCCGCCTTTTGAGACGTCTCAAAAGTCACACTGGGACTTGATACACTTACCACGCCGCCTTTTGAGACGTCTCAAAAGTCACACCGGGACTTGATACACTCACCACGCCGCCTTTTGAGATGTCTCAAAAGTCACACCGGGACTTGATACACTCACCACGCCGCTTCTTCTCACCTCTCAACATCTTCTTCTCACCTCTCAACATCTTCTTCTCACCTCTCAACATCTTCTTCTCACCTCTCAACATCTTCTTCTCACCTCTCAACATCTTCTTCTCACCTCTCAACATATCCTCCAGCGTCCCCCTTTCAATGAACTCATACACCAGCAGCTGCTCGCCCGCCTCCACACAGAAGCCCTTGAGTGCCACCAGGTTGCGATGGCGCACGGCTGACAGCAGCTGGATCTCGTTGCGAAACTCAGTGCCACACAGCTGGTAGTGGTTGGGGCGTGCACAGGGGGGAGTGGGGGAGGGAGGTGAGTTGGAGAGGCACAGAAGCCCTTGAGTGCCACCAGGTTGCGATGGTGCATGGCGGACAGCAGCTGGATCTCGTTGCGAAACTCAGTGCCACACAGCTGGTGGGTGGGGGGGCGTGCATGGGGGGGTTCGGGAGGAGGAGAGACGACGAGATGGAGAAACAAAGGAAGAGGGGTGCCTTCAAGGCCATCAGGTTGCGGTGGCGCACTGCTGAGAGCAGCTGGATCTCGTTGCGAAACTCAGTGCCGCATATCTAGTGGGTGGGTGGGTGGGTGGGGCATACTAGGGAGGGGATTGGGGGAGAGATTGTGAGTAGGCAGGACACAGAAGGCCCTGAGAGCCTTGAGGTTGCGGTCGCACACGGCAGAGAGCAGCTGGATCTTGTTACGGAACTCCGTGCCGCATAGCTGGTGGGTGGGTAGGTGGGGCATGTGGGGAAGAGTGCGGTAGACAGAGGGAGAGAGGGGTGTCTTCGAGCCATGAGGTTGCGGTGGCGCAACTGGGGCAGAGAGCAGCCGTTGCGAAATTTCGTGCCGCACAACTGGTGGATGGGCCGTGCATAGGGGGGAGTGGGGAAGAGTAGAGAGAAGTGAGTTGGAGAGACAAAGACAGAAGCCCGTGAGTGCCACGAAGCTGCGATGGAGCACAGCTGAGCTGAGCTGAGCTCTCGTTGTGGAAATCAGTGCCACACAGGTGGTGGGTTGTGGGGAATAGAAGGTGAGATAGTGGACGGATGGGTGGATGGATGGATGGATGGATGGATGGATGGATGGATGGATGGATGGATGGATGGATGGATGGATGGATGGATGGATGGATGGATGGATGGATGGATGGATGGATGGATGGATGGATGGATGGATGGATGGATGGATGGATGGATGGAGAGGTTACACGTGCACGGTAGGCATTGAGCGAGTCATGGTAGAGGAGACAGGACGCATTTATATCGCTTTACGTTGGTTCACATGGAAACATATGCAAACATGTGTACCACTTGATTGATGCCCCACCTGAAGGTTCACCTGAAGGTTCACCTGACTGACAGAGTTGATCCTGACCCACCTTCACGTGCCCCTTGGCTCGTTTCACTGCCACCACTTCCCCCCATTCCATTACTCCTCGGTACACCTGAGAGTGGCTTAGGCATGGGACGAAGGAGAGGCACGGGAAAAGCCTAAAGTTGCAGCATAGTGTTTTGACATATGGAACCACACCCCCTGATTCCAGCACTGGGGTATGGGGAGCAAAGAGGCAAGGCATGGGGAGCAGATAGGCAACGCATGGGGAGCAGATAGGCAACGCATGGGGAGCAGATAGGCAACGCATGGGGAGCAGATAGGCAACGCATGGGGAGCAGATAGGCAACGCATGGGGAGCAGAAACGGGAGCCGAGGTGAAAGCAGAGCATTTCTGTGTCTCCTGAGTACACCTGACAGTGGTTCAGAACTTCAGACACTGGGAAGAGGCATGAGAAGAGGCTTGGGAAGAGGAATGGAAAGAGGAAATGGGAGGAGGCATGGGAATTGGCATGGAAACATGCATGGGAAGAGGCATGGGAAGCGAAGCTGCCCCACCCCAACCACTATCATACTTGTCCGTATCCTCCCCTTCCCCCTCACAGATATACAGTATACCTGCCCCATATCCTTCCCCACCTCTCACATATATGCCTCGCCATATACCTGCCCATATCCGCCCTCTCCCAGCAGTACCTTGAAGTCCTTGGTCGTGTCTCGTTATCTCTCTCCCTGAGCGTGCACCTGTCTATACCTTCCCACTTGACCCCTCCCCCCTCACACCATCGAACCCGACAATATCCTTCTGAGCCTGTCTGTACCTTCCCATTTGCGCCCTCCCCCCTCACACCATCAAACCTGTCCATACTCGTCTGTATCCATCTGTATCTCATGGTGCAACCTCATGGTTTGCACTCGGTTTGTTGTTCTTGTACTGTGTGTGTGTTTGCATGGAATGGTATAAGAGCATAGGATAACACATATTTTTCATGCTTGTATGAGTATGTGAATGATGAGTCATGATGTTGAACGTGTGTGTTGCGTCAATTGCAATTTTTCGCTAGTCACGTGCCACGTCGCCGTTTAAGTATCGTGTGTGTTTTCTGTTTTGTCGTTGTGTATCGCAAACCAGCAAGAACTCAAATGATAAACCAGAGCCTTCGTTTTAAGACTCAAGTGATTTCGGAGCTCGTCAAAAGGGTCAACATCAAGATAGTGAAAACAGTTACATTGCATTGTGTAATGTTACATTTCTCTTGGTGTATGCCCTTGTGGTATATGTTTCTGAGACCCTTCGTGGTTGTGGATTGTGTCCCTGGACCTCGGCCCCTGGGTTTTGTAGAGGCTTTGAGTCATTCCCAACTCGAACTTCTTCCTCATTTGTGCTCTAAGACTATAGTTGCTGTCACACTGTCGTTCGCTCAAACTACTGTCAATCCTTGATCAAATCGAGTGATTCAGAATGCATATTGTAGACGAAATCAAGTCTCTTTGGATCCCATTCAAAACACTTCATTTAATGCTGTGACAAGAACGCTATCAAGTTTTAAAGCCGCTCGGCATAGATCCGTCTATGCCCTCAATCTTTCGTTTAAGTTGCATTGGAGCCTATTGTGACAATAACAGACTGTAACTACCTGTACCTTCCCATCTGCACCCTCCCCTCATGGTCACATTTGACATCTCCTTGACCTTGCACCTCTATGCATTCCGTACCGTACCTTCCTGTCCGCCCCACAGATATATCTCCCCTACACACGTGTTTGTCCGTCCGCCCTCCCCCAGCCCGTTTGCCCCACAGATATTTCAGATACCTCCCCATACACACCTGTCCGTATCCGCCCTCCCCCAGCAGCGTCTTGAACCCCTGGGTCGCATCCGCTATGTCCTTGAGCTTGCACCGGTGCACCCCCAGCATCTGCAACCCCTCTATTGCCTTGTAGTCCTCCGAGCTCCACAGGTCTCCTGTTGTAGGAGAACAGAGAGGTGGGAAGGGGTGAAGAGGGGTGGGAAGGGAAGGGGAGGGGTGGGGAGAGATGGGGAGGGGTGGGGAGCACATATTGCCTCTCCTTGAGCTCGCACCGACGCACGCCCAGCATCTGCAGCCCCTCGATCGCCCTGTAGTCCTCTAAACTCCACAGGTCTCCTGTTGCAGGGAAACATAGAGGTGGGAAGGTATGGGGAGGGGCGAGGAGGGATGGGGAAGTGTGGTGAGCACACATTGGCTCTCCTTGAGCTTGCGCTGGTGCACGCCCAGCATCTGGAGTCCCTCGATCGCGCAGTAGGCTGTGGTGCTCGGAGCTCCACAGGTCACCTGTTGTTGTTGTTGCAGCAGGAGAAAAGTGGGAGGGGCAAAAAGTTGTGGAGATGGGGAAAGCAAGAGCAGGAAGAGCAAGTCAGGCTTTTGACAGATGGCGTTGTGTCAGAATATCATTCTTCTTGTATCCTACATATTACCTACAACATCAGAGCTAGGCGCCCAAACCTTGATTGGGTGTACAACTGATTCTCCCTTAAGAGTTGGCAATTCAACGTTGGGTTGGAGGAATATAGGATGATATAGTGACTGAACTCAGACTAAGTTTTACTGAACCAACCCAAATTATTGGCAGGGGTTAAAATTGCTGGCCACAGTACCAATCCAACCAAACCCATCTTTTCGCAACCAAAAATGCGAACCCTCCTTGTCACGTTTCACCTCTTACCGATTTATAATATTTTCCACCCCCTCACCCCTCTCCTTCCTATCATGTCTCTCCTCCCTCTCACCTCTCTCCTCACTCTCACCTCTCTTCTCCTCCTCACCTCGCTTCTCCTCCTCACTTCTCTTCTCCCTCTCTCACCTCTCTTCTCCTCCTCACCTCTCTTCTCCTACTCACCTCTCTTCTCCCTCTCTCACCTCGCTTCTCCCGCTCACCTCTCCTCTCCCAGGGTCGCACAATGAGGGCGATGACAACAGCAGTAGAAGACACTGAGATAGATTTCGAGTCGAATCAAAACCCTTATCCCGCTCCCCGTTCTCCGTCCTCTTACCTCGCCTCTCCCAGGGGCGCATGAGAAGAAGCACAATGAGGGCGATGGCAACAGCAGCGGAGGACACTGAGATGGCCACGATGGCACCCGTGCTCAGCCCAGAGGAAGCAGTCTGCTGCTGCGCTGGGGGGGTGTAGGCTGTGGGCGTGGGGTGGTTGGATTGGTTGGAATGAGAGGGCGCAGAGAGAGGAGGGGAGGCACACTGAGATGGCAACGGTGGACCCTGTGCTCAGCCCAGGAGATGCAGTCTGCTGCTGCGCTGGAGGAGTGTAGACTGTAGTTGGAAGGAGAGAACAAAGGGAAAGGGAAGGGCGAAACGGAAGAGAGGAAAGAGCACACTGAGATGGCAACGATGGCGCCCGTGCTCATTTTTGAGGCGCCTCAAAAGTGGTCACTGAGATAGCAGCGGTGGTGCCGTGCCAGTGCTTAGCCCAGAAGAAGTCTGCTGTGAGGTGGTGTCGTGTGCCGTTGTAACGAGGTGACTTTTGAGTCGACTCAAAAGTCACTGAGATAGCAACGATGGCACCACCAGTGCTTACTCTCTCAGCCCAGACGGCGTGTGTCTCAGAGGGGAACATACTCTGGGGGCTGCCGGTGCGTGTCTCTGGGGGCTGCCGGTGCGTGTCTCTGGGGGCTGCCGGTGCGTGTCTCTGGGGGCTGCCGGTGCGTGTCTCTGGGGGCTGCCGGTGCGTGTCTCTGGGGGCTGCCGGTGCGTGTCTCTGGGGGCTGCCGGTGCGTGTCTCTGGGGGCTGCCGGTGCGTGTCTCTGGGGGCTGCCGGTGCGTGTCTCTGGGGGCTGCCGGTGTGTGTCTCTGGGGGCAGACGCCAAGGTGATCAGCCCAGCAGAGGTGCCACACACGCACACACGACAAACTCACGTGCCGGGCCGTAGAATCCAACCGCGTGATAAAAAGTTGAGTGTTGAGACGTCTCCAAACTCAACTATTATCACATAAAGCGAAACAAAACCAGACTCACGTGCGGGGCCGTAGAATCCAACCACTCGAAAGAGCCCGAAGTTGCCGAGAGCAACACGCATGGCAAGGTCCCGGGTGGTGAGGGCGTTGCGGATGGCCTGCGGTGTGTCTCGCGGGTGCCAGCTGCCATCGCCGCCCGGCGGGAAGAAGAGGACGGTGATGATGAGCGTTGACTCGTGGTTGATGTGCTCCGAGGTGAAGGTGGAGGCAAGCGAGTCGAGCGAAGCGGGGCTTCTTATGGCAGAGACGAGGACCTGGTGGGAGGGAAAAGTGGAAGGAGAGGGAGTGAGAGGGGAAGTATGAGAAATCAAGTCCTTGATTCGTGATTTTGACTTTGGGGATGCCATGTGCCCTGTGGTGTGATGCGAGGGGACCATCACCAGCTATTGTTGATTCCCCCGGAGGGAAGAAGAGAAGCGTGATGATGAGCGTGCGTTAACTGGTGGCTGATGTGCTCCGAGGCGAAGGTGGAGGCGAGTGAGTCGAGCGTGGAGGGGCTGCTGATTGCAGAGACGAGGACCTGGTGGGGAGGGAGGAGGAGTGGTGGGGAAGAAGAGGGTGATGATGAGCGTTGACTGATGTTGATCTGAGACCTGTTGGTGAGCTCAGAGAAGGTCCGCTGGTCCAGCTGCAGGCACCTCAGAGTAAACCCGGAAGTTACACCACACAACTGTCCTAGGAAACTGACCTTTGGCCTGCTGATGTTGATCTGCGACTTGCTGGTGAGCTCAGAGAAGATCCGCTGCTCCAGCTGCTGCACCAGCGCCTCATGGTACACCACGAAATCCGATATAAACAGCTCCAGGTCGACTCTTAACGGGGACACGCACACGCAAGAGTGTGACTCGTTATAGAGCGGTGCGCTAGGGCTGTAGAGGTCGTTCTCGCAGGCGAGGCCGTCGCAAAAGGCAGGGGAGGTGTATTGGGTGAGGGGGGTCGGGGGGGAGCAGACTTGCGTGTAGTCTGGCTTGAATGGCTTGCAGAGATCGTTGTTGAAAAGCCTGCAGGGGGGGGGGACGGGGGGGCAGGGGAGGGAATGTGTATTGAGTGAGAGAGGGAGGTTGTGGGGGTGCATACTTGCGTGTAGTTTGGATTGAACAGCTTGCAAAGATCGTTGTTGAAAAGCCTGGGGGGGCAGAGGGTGGATCGGGAAAGGGAGACAAAGGGGAAAGTGGGAGAATGGGGAGGCGAGGAGAAGGTAGACGGGGAAGAGAAGGAAGGACAGAAGCAGCAGGGAACAGAGGAGGGGGGGGGGGTGTAAGAACTTGAGCTTGAAGTGATACATTAGGTACTGAGCTCAAGGCTCTTAACTACATTCCAAGAGGATTGGCTGAAATGAAGCAAGGAATTGATGGGGAGGGAATCGGGGACAATCCCATGAGGATTGGCTGGAAACTCCAATTGGTGGGTTGGAGTTTTCGGTTTATCACGTTTGGGTTCGGTTGAGATGTGGATGTACATTCAACCAACTCAAACTGCAAACTACACTACGATATAGTTTTACGAGTACAAAGGTTGAGATTGAGGGCTAACACCAACAGAAAATGGAGGTGGAAAAGAGAAGGCAAATAAGAGAAAATGGAAATGTGAGGGTGGAAAAGAGAGGGTGGAAGAAAGGGGGTGCTATATAGCAGCGACAGCAGCAGCGGCATTTTCGTTTTCAAGTACAGGCTGTGAGGGATCACGCTCATTATGCGGATGCTAGAAAGGCAGATCACTGCAGAGTGAGGTTCCCACTGGTGAGTAGGGACGGCGCACACTAGAGGAAAGCAAACTAAAGGACGACACACTAAACAGCAGCAGACTGGAGGGTGGCACACTAGAGGGCGGCACACTAGAGGGCGGCACACTAGAGGGCGGCACACTAGAGGGCGGCACACTAGAGGGCGGCACACTAGAGGGCGGTACACTAGAGGGCGGCACACAAGAAAAGCCACTCACTGCAGCGTGATGTTGTTGGTCTTGGCGAGCAGGGCGGGCGGCAGGGAGGAGAGGGAGTTGTCAAAGAGGGAGAGCGACACGATGCTGGGCAGCGATGAGAGGTCTGGCAAGGGACCGCTGAGCTGATTGCCGGATAGGAAGCTGGAGGGGTGGTTGGGGAAGGGGTGGAGGGATGGAGGAAACGTGGACATGGCACATGAGTTTGGGTATCTTATCCCCGTCAGAACAGGAGTGAGGGGACTGGAAAGAGGCACCAATTGCATGGAGAGGGGATGACTTTGAGACATGGTGGGAGGCAATGGGGAGCGAAGGAGCCGAAAGGGAGGGAATGAGGAGAGATTACAGAGAACTGGGAGAAAGGCAACATCAGCAGAACGTAAAGCTATTGGTTGAAGTAGGCGCGTGCTCGCTCTGCTGTTTGTGATGGCACTATATGATTTTTAGTTACCATCTTCAAATAGAGCTAACTTCATTTCGAGTTCAGTTTAGGTTCAGTTTCCTGCCATCATCCCACCAAGCTGAACACGCCCTAGGTTCGGTTGAGGTTTTACCCCAACCTGCTTATAACCTTACACGCTTTTCTCTCTCGTCCCCTAATTGACTCCTAGGTTCCTACACTTTTCCAAAACCTGCAGTGCTAAATATGCTGTTTATATCAACTATGCTATATATGCCAGATATACAGGTTGAGGTAGGCGGTTCTCCCACTCACACGGATTGCAGACTGGCAGCATCGGCGATCGCTGGAGGGAAGCTCGAACTAAGATCGTTGTTAGCCAAATTGCTGGCGATGGAGGGAGGAAGGAGGGAAAGAGGAGGGGTCATGGAAAGACCCAGCGAGGGGGGTCGGTTGCCGTGAGACTTAAGACCGAAACGAAGTGCATGACAGGGGGTGTATGGCATGGGGTGCAAGGTATGGGGTGCAAGGCATGGGGTGCATGGCATGGGGTGCATGGCATGGGGTGCAAAGCATGGGGTGCAAGGCATGGGGTGCAAAGCATGGGGCGCATGGCATGGGGTGCATGGCATGGGGTGCAAGGCATGGGGTGCAAAGCATGGGGAGCATGGCATGGGGTGCAAAGCATGGGGTGCAAGGCATGGGGAGCAAGTCATGGGGTGCAAAGCATGGGGCGCATGGCATGGGGTGCATGGCATGGGGTGCATGGAGTGAGGTGAATGGCATGGGGTGCATGGCATGGGGTGCATGGAGTGAGGTGAATGGCATGGGGTGCAAGGCATGGGGTGCATGGCATGGGGTGCATGGCACAAAAACAAGCTTGACACTGACATGATGTTGCCATGGCTCAAAAGCGTTTCAGCAGAAATTCAAACACGGAAAATCCGACGTTTAAAATTCTGCTGAAATGCTATTGAGCCATGTCTTGGAAATGCACACGCACAGTAGGAAACGCAAAACAGAAGAGATGAACTGACAGGTTGACGAGGTTAGGGTGCTGCCAAAACAGAGAGCCTGGGATGGAGCCTGTGAAACTGTTGCTGCTCAGGTCCCTGGGAGGTGATGTGGGAAGGTGAAGGGGAGGCAATGCGGATGGGGGAGGGGGAAGGGACGGCAAGGGGGAAAGGGGGAGTGGGGGAGAGAAGGGGGGTGGGGGGGATAAACGGTCTGTAGCAGACAGACTTTGAGTGGGTGAGGTGCAGGGAAGGGGAAGAATGGTGTGGAAGTAGCGATGTGAGTGGAAACCAGACGAAGGAAAAAAGGGGGTGGGAAAGTTGTTTCACACGGAACAAGGCAGATTGTGTGTGTGATTTCGATAGGAATTGATGAAATGTGAATTGATGGATGGATGGATGGATGGATGGATGGATGGATGGATGGATGGATGGATGGATGGATGGATGGATGGATGGATGGATGGATGGATGGATGGATGGATGGATGGATGGATGGATGGATGGATGGATGGATGGATGGATGGATGGATGGATGGATGGATGGATCGATGCACTGCAAAACAGGGCTTACAGGTTGGAGAGGTTGCGAGAGATAGGGAAGGAAGGAAGAGGCTGTTTCGGTAGAGAGCAGTTGCTGAAGAGGCTGTGTGGGGATGGGAGACACATACATGCATGTAAGCACACACATGCACATGCACACACACATACACATTCGTGCACAAGTAGACTTGTATGTAGTCATGAGATACACACACATGAACATACATGATGCATGCACATGGACACATGCACACTTGCAGGGAAACACACACATGCACATGCTCATGCGTATGGACACATACGCACGCTCATGCAAATAGACACATCCCCGCATGCACATGCACACATGCACATTTGGGGTATAGTCACATACAATACCCACATTTACAAACATAGCAAAGAACTCTCTGCTGCACCATCAACCCTGCTCTGCAATTAGTCAACGTAATGAGTCGACTTAAGAACATATATCGTGAACTGAGAAGTTCCTGAGTTGGAGGCCACTTAGAGTTTCCTGAGTTGGAGAACGACTTACAAGTCCTTGAGTCGGGGGAAGAACCAGGTGGAGGGGAAGGGGCCGGGTATTATGTTGTTGCTCCAGTAGCTGGTTGGAGAGGCAGGGAGAGGGGAAGGGCGGGAGAGATGGGGACGGGAAGGGGGAGGGAATGGATTGGGAGCGAGGAGAGGGCGAAGGGAAGGGAGGCGGGAAAGAAGGGAAGAGGGGGGGGAAGGCAGAAGGGAAGGTGGGGGGAAACGGAAGGGGGTGAAAATGGAGGGAGCAGGCAAGGGAGCAGGGAGAGGGGGGGGGGTGGACGAGGCGAGAGGTTCAAGTTAAAGCATGAAGTGGTGGCTGCAGTAGCTGGTAGGAAGAAAGGAAAGGAGGGTAAGACGGGAGAAGTTGGAGGTCAGGGGCCGAAGGCCAACGGATTACGGTGACTACAGCAGTTGACTTTTGAGAATTCTCAAAAGTCATACAAATATAGCCAACGGATTACGGTGACTACAGCAGTTGACTTTTGAGAATTCTCAAAAGTCATACAAATATAGCCAACGGATTACGGTGACTACAGCAGTTGCCTGCTTGGTGAAGGGGGGCAGGAGTGGGTGGGAGAGGTTGGGAGAGGTTGGGAGAGGAGAAAATGGGCCGCACCAAGGTGGGAGAAAGGCAACTACTTGGTTTTAACACGGAGGCACGTACCGACGAGCAGAACAAGACGAGCTAAGCAGGACAGAACTAGTTTGCAGCAGGTTACGAGCAACATTAAGAGGTGGTACAAGCACAACTTTTGACTTGTGCAAGCACTTTCGACTCAGGCGTCACCTCAAATCAAACAGCAGGAGACGGGCAAGCAACATAGACCGCTCTTTGCATGCAAGATTATCGGTGCTTGCTAAATGCATACTCGGTTCTTAACAGCTAGTTTACAAGACTCCTAGCCTGAGTGAAGACACATAGTGGAAAATGCCTCCCCCACACATACATGACAGTGAGGTTGGTGTTGTTGAAAGCGAGTGGAGTTTTGAGTCAACTCAAAATGGCTACACGCACACACATGGTTTCTAACAAAAAATCCTTCCTTACCCAAGTAAAGACACATAGTGGAAAATGTTCACACACACGTACATGTCAGTGAGGTTGGTGTTGTTGAAAGCGAGTGGAGTTTTGAGTCAACTCAACTCGCCCACACCGCACACACACATAGTGGAACATTCCTGCACTGCACGCACACACGTACATGACAGTGAGGTTGGTGTTGTTGAAAGCGAGTGGAAAGTCATGGGTGAGACGGTTGCTGTCCATCAGCCTGCCATGCAACACACGACAGCAGCGAACAAGAATGTTATACGGGTGGAGGAGTAGCAACACTACATGTATGACACAGCCAATCGAAGGGCATGGGTGAGGTTATCTGAGGTTACCTGACACATGAGGTTATCTGAGGTTGGGATTTGCAACACTACATGTATGACACAGCCAATCGAAGGGCATGGGTGAGGTTATCTGAGGTTGGGATTTGCAGGGTTCATTACTCAGCACGACTTAGACATGCGCGCCTTGAGCACGACTTAGACATGCGCGCCTTGAGCACGACTTAGACATGCGCGCCTTGAGCACGACTTAGACATGCGCGCCTTGAGCACGACTTAGACATGCGCGCCTTGAGCACGACTTAGACATGCGCGCCTTGAGCACGACTTAGACATGCGCGCCTTGAGCACGACTTAGACATGCGCGCCTTGAGCACGACTTAGACATGCGCGCCTTGAGCACGACTTAGACATGCGCGCCTTGAGCACGACTTAGACATGCGCGCCTTGAGCACGACTGACACATGTGCGCCCTCGGCACGACTGACACATGGGCGCCCTCCTCGGCACGACTTAGACATGCTTGCCTTGAGCACGACTCACAGGTGCAGCAGTTTGGGCAGTCTGCTGATCTCTGCTGGAACAGACGTGAAGAGGTTGTTGCTCATGTGGCTGTCGGGCAGGGGGACCACAGGGGGAGAGAGTGGGAGGGGGGAGGGAGAGGGGAAATACAGATTAGGGGAAAGCGAACGGAAGAGGGGAAAAGAAGATGTGGGGAGTGAGGACGTGAGAGGGTGCAACAGACACCCACAGGTGCAACAGACACCCACAGGTGCAACAGACACCCACAGGTGCAACAGACACCCAAAGGTGCAACAGACACCCACAGGTGCAACAGACACCCACAGGTGCAACAGACACCCACAGGTGCAACAGACACCCACAGGTGCAACAGACACCCACAGGTGCCCGAGCTCAGGGTGGGTAAGGAGAGGAGAAAGCAGGTGAGGATGGGTGATGCTCGCAGCGATCGGGATGGGTGATACTCATAGGGAGAGGGATGCGGGTGATATTCATATGGAGAGGGATGGCGGTGATACTCATAGGGAGAGGGATGGGGGTGATATTGATAGGGGGGGATGGTTGACACTCCAGGTGGGGATGGGTGTCACTCACAGGTGTGCGAGCTCATTTGCACCCTCCCTGGAACAATGGCAGGGCGGCTTCCATCCGGTTGGAAGGGGCCCCTGCCATTTTTCATCACGGCAGGAGCCCTTCCATCCGGGTCATCACGGCAGGAGCCCTTCCATCCGGGTCATCTTTTGAGGCGCCTCAAAAGGAGCCCTTCCATCCGGGTCATCACGGCAGGAGCCCTGCCATCCGGGTCATCACGGCAGGAGCCCTGCCATCCGGGTCATCATGGCGTTAAGCATGGATAGGGGCACTCACAGGTGGCTGAGCTCGTTTGCCCCCTGGAACTTCGGAAGGGGCCCTTCCAGCTGATTCTCCATTACATCAAGCATGTAGAGGCGGGGGAGGGTGCCGATCTGTGTTGGCAGGGAGCCCGAGAGGCGGTTCTGGTTGACCAGGAAGTAGCTCAGGCTGGTGAGTCGGCCGATGGTGGCTGGGATGGAGCCCGATAGGCCACACCCGTGCATGTCCCTGCGGAGGGGGGCGAGAGGAGGGTTGGGGGAAGGAAGAGGCGGTTCTGGTTGACCAGGAAGTAGCTCAGGCTGGTGAGGCGGCCGATGGTGGATGAGATGGTCCCTGACAGGCAACACCCATGCATGTCCCTGCGGAGGGCGGCGAAAGGAGGGTTGGGGGAAGGAAGAGGCGGTTGTGGTTGACCAGGAAGTAGCTCAGGCTGGTGAGGCGGCCGATGGTGGATGGGATGGTCCCTGACAGGCAACACCCATGCATGTCCCTGCGGAGGGCGGCGAAAGGAGGGTTGGGGGAAGGAAGAGGCGGTTGTGGTTGACCAGGAAGTAGCTCAGGCTGGTGAGGCGGCCGATGGTGGATGGGATGGTCCCTGACAGGCAACACCCATGCATGTCCCTGCGGAGGGCGGCGAAAGGAGGGTTGGGGGAAGGAAGAGGCGGTTGTGGTTGACCAGGAAGTAGCTCAGGCTGGTGAGGCGGCCGATGGTGGATGGGATGGTCCCTGACAGGCAACACCCATGCATGTCCCTGCGGAGGGCGGCGAAAGGAGGGTTGGGGGAAGGAAGAGGCGGTTGTGGTTGACCAGGAAGTAGCTCAGGCTGGTGAGGCGGCCGATGGTGGATGGGATGGTCCCTGACAGGCAACACCCATGCATGTCCCTGCGGAGGGCGGCGAAAGGAGGGTTGGGGGAAGGAAGAGGCGGTTGTGGTTGACCAGGAAGTAGCTCAGGCTGGTGAGGCGGCCGATGGTGGATGGGATGGTCCCTGACAGGCAACACCCATGCATGTCCCTGCGGAGGGCGGCGAAAGGAGGGTTGGGGGAAGGAAGAGGCGGTTGTGGTTGACCAGGAAGTAGCTCAGGCTGGTGAGGCGGCCGATGGTGGATGGGATGGTCCCTGACAGGCAACACCCATGCATGTCCCTGCGGAGGGCGGCGAAAGGAGGGTTGGGGGAAGGAAGAGGCGGTTGTGGTTGACCAGGAAGTAGCTCAGGCTGGTGAGGCGGCCGATGGTGGATGGGATGGTCCCTGACAGGCAACACCCATGCATGTCCCTGCGGAGGGCGGCGAAAGGAGGGTTGGGGGAAGGAAGAGGCGGTTGTGGTTGACCAGGAAGTAGCTCAGGCTGGTGAGGCGGCCGATGGTGGATGGGATGGTCCCTGACAGGCAACACCCATGCATGTCCCTGCGGAGGGCGGCGAAAGGAGGGTTGGGGGAAGGAAGAGGCGGTTGTGGTTGACCAGGAAGTAGCTCAGGCTGGTGAGGCGGCCGATGGTGGATGGGATGGTCCCTGACAGGCAACACCCATGCATGTCCCTGCGGAGGGCGGCGAAAGGAGGGTTGGGGGAAGGAAGAGGCGGTTGTGGTTGACCAGGAAGTAGCTCAGGCTGGTGAGGCGGCCGATGGTGGATGGGATGGTCCCTGACAGGCAACACCCATGCATGTCCCTGCGGAGGGCGGCGAAAGGAGGGTTGGGGGAAGGAAGAGGCGGTTGTGGTTGACCAGGAAGTAGCTCAGGCTGGTGAGGCGGCCGATGGTGGATGGGATGGTCCCTGACAGGCAACACCCATGCATGTCCCTGCGGAGGGCGGCGAAAGGAGGGTTGGGGGAAGGAAGAGGCGGTTGTGGTTGACCAGGAAGTAGCTCAGGCTGGTGAGGCGGCCGATGGTGGATGGGATGGTCCCTGACAGGCAACACCCATGCATGTCCCTGCGGAGGGCGGCGAAAGGAGGGTTGGGGGAAGGAAGAGGCGGTTGTGGTTGACCAGGAAGTAGCTCAGGCTGGTGAGGCGGCCGATGGTGGATGGGATGGTCCCTGACAGGCAACACCCATGCATGTCCCTGCGGAGGGCGGCGAAAGGAGGGTTGGGGGAAGGAAGAGGCGGTTGTGGTTGACCAGGAAGTAGCTCAGGCTGGTGAGGCGGCCGATGGTGGATGGGATGGTCCCTGACAGGCAACACCCATGCATGTCCCTGCGGAGGGCGGCGAAAGGAGGGTTGGGGGAAGGAAGAGGCGGTTGTGATTGGCTCGGAAGTATTTGAGGCTGGTGAGTCGCCCTGTGGTGGACGGGATGGAGACTGATAGGCAACACTTGTGCATCTCTCTGCTTGTTGTTTGTGCGGGGGGAGGGGGTGCAGAAGGGGTGGTATAAGGGGCAGGAAAGAGGAATTTCAGATAGCCTGTGTGCTCCTGTATGCAGATATCCCATATGCAGTGCGCTTATGGTGCACCGGAATGCTTACAGCCCAGCAGAGTGCTTAGAATGCAGCAGTGTCCGTACAACACAGGTGCTCACAGCGCAGCGCAGCAGAGAGGGCTCACAGGAAAGAAGTGCTCACTACTCACAGCGTGGTGAGCTGCAGGAGGTTTCCGAGAGCATCTGGAAAGCTGCCCGTCAGATTCGGGTTGAGCGCCAGATTGCTGATGAAAGGGGGGCAGAAAGGGGCAGCGACAGGAGTCACAATGGGAGCGTCAGGGTTACTGAGGGTAAGAGGTTCCATGAGCTACGAATTGAGATCTTCAGCTGGCTGTGGATAGTGAAGGGGGGAGGGGGAGGAAGATATGGAAAGTGCAAAACAGTCGAATGAAAGAGAGGGGAAGGGGGGCATGCAGTTGAATGATAGAGAGGGACGGGCGGATGGGGGTGGCATGGGAACTCACAGCAGGCGAAGCGATGTGAGATTGAAAAGGGAAGGCGGCAAGTCTCCTGATAGCTGGGCGTCCTGAATGTCACTGAAGGGGGTGAGAGAGGGGAGAGGAGGAAGGAAATGACAGGAGGAGAGGCGAAGGGGTAAGAAAACTGTCGTTCCAGCTTTCCCTCAAAACGTAATTCTCACATGTCTTTCTTTAGATCGGCGTTGTGCACATCACAATGCACTCGCTGCATCTGCATCTGCACCACCACCTGCACGGGCCTTCCCCAGTCCTTCCTAGCACAGCGTACCACCTCAATGACCCTTCCTGCACTCACATCCCAGCCAACGGTTACTTTTGCTAATTCTCAAAAGTGACTCCAAAACAGCGTACCACCTCATTGCCCCTTCCTGCACTCACATCACAGCCAACGGTTTGTGAGTGCCGCACTTGATGCCAGCCCAGCCCATGCACTTCCCCCACCTGCCTCGCACGGCCCGTTCAGGCAAGGAGCAGTGAGCGCCACCATAGTCCCCCTTCCCGCACTCACATCTCAGAAACAGTGTTGTACGGGCTGCCTGTGTCGCACTTGATGCCAGCCCATGCGCTCCCTGCATACGCCCTGCACGGTTTGGCCCCCCGTTCAAGCAAGGATCAACACCCAACGCCCCCTTCCCCCACGAACATCTCAGCCACGTGTTATACGGGCTGCCTGTGTCGCACTTGATGCCCTGCACAATCATGCATTCCCTGCATACGCCCTGCACGGTTTGGCCCCCCGTTCAAGCAAGGAGCACCACCCTATTGCCCCCCTCCCGCACCGCACTCACATCTCAGCAACTGTACTGTACGGACTGCCAGTGTCGCACGTGATGCCAGCCCATGCGCTCTCCGCACCTGCCCCACACGTGACTTCCCCCATCCGAGCACACAGCACTATCCATGTCCACCCTCATTGCACTCACATCTCAGCAACTGTACTGTACGGGCTGCCAGTGCCGCAATTGATGCCAGCCCATGCGCTCCCTGCATCTGCCATCTCACACGGGCACAAAGCACCACCACCCCAGTCCCCCAAGCTGCACGCACATCTCAGCCACGGAATTATACGGGCTGCCAGTGTCGCACTTGATGCCAGCCCACGCGCTCCCCGCCTCTCCCCCACACGGATCATCCCCCGTCCACGCGTTGAACGGGGGGCTGCTGGGGTTGCCTAGAGCCGCGAAGGTCCTGAGAATGGCCACTAGAAGGTGGGTCAGTGGGGAAGGGGAACGCAGACAAGGTACACTTATGAGGTACCAGCCCTGTGAAAGGATTGGGTTGGGGTGACCAAGGTGACGTAAGTGGAGCTGCGAAGGTCCTCTGAATGGGCACTGGAAGGCGGGTGAGCGGAAACGCAGAGAAGTCATTGCTGCGTGTTTGGTGCCTAGGGACAGCACAGCATTTGCATGAGGCATCAGCCGTGCATGTGATGCGGCTGTTTCTGAGGCGAAACTCGCCTCAAAGAAAGCATGGGCGGGATGGGGCATTAGCCATGTATGCCGCAGGGCTGCTGGGGTGGAGAGGGGGGACGGAGGGTATCACCTAGAGGGTGGCAAAATGAAGGTTGTTGTTTTGTCCCTTGGCGACACTAGGTGCATTCCTATTGTGGTGAACGTTCCTTTTCCTGTCGTCGAGAATGCATCCCGTGCGGCCGATAGGTTTTGAGAAGAGGTGAGTGGGGGAAGAAGGGAGAGGGGTGGGGGAGGGCAAGGGGGGAAAGGGAGGGGGGAGAGCGATGCTGATGGGGAGTGGCGGACGTAGGGACAGCTAATTGAGAGGCGGCGCAGCAGAGCGGCTTACTTATGAGGCGCTCTCAGTTCCGAACTGAGTCAAAGGAGCTTGCGTTCAAGGGGGTGCTCCCAGCCTAGGTCACCACCCACTAGATATGGCTCTTGAAGGTCGTAAGGCATGGGTGGTTCGGATTTTTGCGATGCAATTTCGCCTCTAAGAAAAGACACAGTGTCAAATTCATGCACGGAATCGTCATTCTCCGACTGCTCGCACTGGACAGCCAGAAGACTCCACTGGAGCTCCGCGGTGCAGTGCTTCAACATGTGCAAGGTTCCCCAAACTGTTAACCACATTGGGGTTAATGCTAAATGACGATTGACACTCAAATTTCTATCCCGGATGAACGCGTTCAAACTAAGTGCGACATCTTACGAGTGATCGAAACAGGATCAACTTAAAGCATATTCGCCTTTCCTATTATACAGCATCCAGCAGATTCGCCGGCGGGGGAATTCGCAGGAGTAGTTAGTAGTACTAGCATTCCCTCAAAAGTAAAACGTATTTCGGAAATACGACGGAGCGAATCGCCTAACGTGTGCGAAATCAACCACTGATCGCATTAAGCATTTTAGGGAATCGCGTCGGAGGAACGAATCGTCAACCGTCGGAGGAACGAATCGCCTACCATGAGCGGGATCAGTCACACCGAGAACGCCGCGACTCGGAAGCAAGGCAGCGAGCAGCGCGAGCGTTGCTAGGAGTGGTACGAACTCGCACGACGATGTTGCTCGCAGCGGCGTGTGACAACGAGATCCGACAGAACGACGAGCCATTGTCGTCCGTTGCTACTGATTGAGGCGGCGCTTTGATTAAATCTATCGCCTGGGGCACATTGTCGTGGAGTATTTGCGAGAACAACTCCTCATCAGATTCCAGAGTACGAACACTCCAAAAGCGGCGTAGTTAAGGTAGTGACAGTTTAGGGAACTATGTAGTGAAGTGATGTCTGCCAGCGGTATCCTCTTTTGTCAACAATATCAGTCTCTAGACGTGTCACACCATTCCAAAGTTTGAACGAACCGTCTTTGAACACACTACAAACTTGGTAACCGTGTAAACGAGCGTGACTGATAAGTTTCCCGCCATCAATTTCTTCGCATTAGGGTCTTCCTCCTGAAGATTCCGCACACGTGCGGGTTTCTGGAGGAATGATCCAGAAACCCATTCATTTCCGAAGTGTGTTTAGGCGATTATGTACGCTACAGTGAGGTTGGGAGGGATTAAGTGCAATTACTGATTTGACGCAGGCCACCTCACACAAGATGCGCCTCGCGCAGTTTCCGGCCCAGTGCTTGTTCCTTTTCCGCGCTCCGGGCAGCAAGCTAACGAGGAGCCACTTCGGGCAGCACGACACCCCGAACAAGCAGCAACCCACCAGGCATCCCTGCCCTGAACAACTGTACAGTGTTTCTTCAAAATTCAATGACTTCGTTCGTCGTGTTCGTCCTCTTGCTGCCCGAAATTCCGCTCTGTAGCTTGCCTCTGTAGGACGCATAAGCACGCGTCGGGACTTGATTGGTTGTAAACGTATTTTGTACAAGCAGAAGCTTTATCACTATTGATGCTAGTATCACTCTGCACCAGACTTCGTTATGTCATAAACATTTCACTCATACTAAGACTGAATGTGGTGTGAATAATAGTGGTAATTACCACATGGCTGACGTTATCAGACTAAATATTATTAATATTCTGACAAATATGACCCATGAGCCTCTGTCCCCTGTTCTTTCATATTAAGTGGTTTTTGAACCATGATGGTTTCAAAGCAATAGTTTTTAGGGCCCTAATTGTGTGTATTAGTGTGTGGGGCTGATCTGAAGTCCAATAGATCACAACCGTACTGTGTCGTGCAAAATCGCGTATCTAAATTCGAGCTTCAAGCTCAACATCCTCCGCGAGCAAGGGCCACAAAGGAGCCAAGCAGCAAGGTCATACGAAGCTCAGGGAATCAGTCTGTAATTCACTACGGTTATGAAAGTTTGAGTACTTAAGAAATCGGTTTGTTTGAACTTCAGAATTGTGCCTAGCAAGCTTACAAAACGGCAAGACATCACTTCACTCACTGCGCGTGACGCGCATCGTGATTGTCCTCTCCTCATGCATGACTGATGCAGTTACTACCACAGGGAATTGCCAGTTCTGGACTCTGTCGGGGAGTTTTTTCTCGCGATTATTTCACGCGATTCACTCCAGGCGGAAGCTTAGGCGCCGCCTCAAGAATGGCTCGCTGGGTCAGGTCACGTTGTCGTGCACCGCTGCAAGTAACATCGCCCGTGCGAATTTCACCGCCGCTCGTAGTAACGTTTGCGCTGCTCGCTACCTTTCTTCCGAGTCGCGGCTCCCTCGCTGCCACTGATCCCGCTCACGGTAGGACGATTCGTTTCGACGTATTTCTTAGAATCTTCCATTACGGTATACCTGATACTACGAACTGGGCTGCGAAGGTATGTTTTCCATTACCGTAAGGTACAAAGTGAAAATCTGCGTAACTTTGTTCCATATCACTCGCGAAACGTGGCAATTAGTTCGCGAAGTGTTTCGTGAGGATGATATTAATAGCGGCTAGACGGAGCAAAACGACTCTAATTTTCGTCAGAATTAGGGTTACCACACACAAATTTCGCAGGTGTTCCTGGAAGGCTGCGCAATTGCAATTGCTCCGCCATTTGATGATAAGTCATGTCGGCCCGCGAGTCGCGGATATTGCCACAATCTTGATTATGTGAATGATCCTTACTAGATGATGCGCTCATGCGCTGATGTCCAAGCCCATGCCGATGCTCATATGCTCATGCATGCTCATGCTCGTATGCTCATGCTCATGCTCATGCTCATATGCTCATGCTCGTATGCTCATGCTCGTATGCTCTTGCCCATGCTCATGCTCATATGCTCATGCTCATGCCCATGCCCATGCTCGCGCTCATATGCTCATGCTCATGTGCCCATGCTCATATGCCCATGCTCATATGCCCATGCTCATTTGCCCATGCTCGTGCTCATGCTCACATGCTCATGCTCATATGCTCAT